GGGCAAAAAAGGTGGTTTTGGGCGGAGGAACTGTGCTTGGATTGGGCAAAAAAGGTGGATTTGGGCTGAGGAACTGTGCTTGGATTGGGCAAAAAAGGTGGATTTGGGCGGAGGAGACACCCCATAGACGATTTCTCTGACGTTCTTGGGAATTATAGGTTACGTGGTGTCAGTTGCATGATTAGGGCTCGACAAGACAGGTGTATTTAGAGGCAGCAAGATAATTTTCTCATAGTTTCTCATCGTGTATTATTCGCTCCTTATCTCGAGCATATCTTTTCAGTTGACAACGATTGGAAGGATATATTTAAATGTTAACAATTTTCTTAGCTTCACACAGCCATCCAACCTTGTAGTTATTATTCCTTGTTTCAATTTTTCATGGTGTAGTAAATCTGTGATCTGTTGTTCTCCAAAGGATGTTTATCATATCAGCAATAGTTCATGAAGTAACGGCAACCCTCTGAGACACAGTCGCATTTACTCTAGCCACGTCTGGGAATCCACAACCATTGCTGTAAGAACCATTAACCCATGGGGCCACCCGATCACAGTATTTTCTTTTTAGCCCTGGATCACCATCTGGTCGCCGTGAACTTACTCTCAGCGAGGCAATTTCCGTGACCTGTTTTTATTTCTAACATTATTCTTAGCCTGTGATGATTATTTCAAGTGTCAGTGAATGTACTTTTAGTAATTGTTTTGAATATCTTCGCATAACTGATTGTGACAATTTTGGTATGAATAGAAAATATGCCATGGAACCCCCTCAAACCCCCACATTCTTGGCACACATAGCTGGGGAGGGGATGAGAGGTACCAGGGAAATTGCAGGGAGAAATTTAAATAACATAGACAAAATATGTCATAATGATAATAATATATACAAAATAAAGCAGTATATTGTCTAAATTGGCCGTGCCTCCTTCAACACTGTGGTGACTGCTACCACTCAACCTCCACTCGGGAGCACAAAGAATCCTATACGTACTCACGGCAGTATAAAACGTACAACCGACACATGGGAGCACCTGATATCGAGTCTATTACGCTCTATTCTACTGCATATATGTGGTGAATTCTTTGTCGCCCAGGTCAGGGATTATATATAGTCAATACATAACCCACCCTGGAGGGATATATATTGACTATAGATTGACCAATTCTCTGGATATTATTTATAGTTTAACCCACAATTTCCCTACTTTCCCTTGCTAATAGGGCAAAGATTGTGGGTACTGGTGAGGTTTCTGTGGCATAATTTATACATATTTGGGTAGCAGAGAGTGAGAGGAATCCATTGATTCAATATCATCATGTTTGGTCGTGTGAAGGTATTCTGAATATTCACTATAATTTTTCCCAGGCTTTATGATATCTTCATTAGATTTTGTACCATATGGCTGTGTGAAACTGAAACTATACCATGATAAATGACTACATTCATAATAATGGCTATCCAGTTATTAATACTCCTTGGTTCCCCTTAGCTGTGGACTTACCTCTTTTTCTGGATAAATGTTATTTGTCTCTTGGTATTTCCCAAGGTCTATATTTGTCCATTGTTATGCAAACTCATGCCACATCATCTGGATCAAATTGGTTAATATGCTCAGAATCAAAGTTACTTGTGTTTTTCTTTAGGTTCTTCTTTTTTTTTTGCATAATTACATAAAACCTAAGTAAAGTCCAAAGTGAACCTAAACATGATAGTGGCAAATGGTTTGAAAATATTACAGAATGCATATTATGTTTGTAATGTAGTTGGAACAGATTGACAATATTGATTATTTGGGGGTTTTATCTTGCATTTGGTTACATATGTTTGGCTGTACGCAAAGTAACATCCATCTAATATTTGTTTTAGACATAATGTGCTTATAGAATCCCCAACATGCATTTACAATGAAAAATGAACATAGGGGAGCTTATAGGATTTTAGTAAGTAAGTAGTATAACATAGTGTTGGAGAGTTCCACACTCTATGACAGGAGAACAGACTGGCGTGTCGCACATAATGCTTTATTTTCCTTTGGACGTTTCTCAAGATTGTTATTGGAAGATGGCTTTTTGCAAAGTGATGTAGAGAATCCATCGGTAATGATGGAAATATTTTTCAAATGTTTGGGAACAAGATTAGTTGTTACAAAGTTCCAGTTTTGCCAAGTGGTAATTCAATAAGCTGTATAACATGATAGAAGCTTGGGCACTGATCTAGAATATTCTTAATATTAACATTCACCAAGTACATAGATAAATTCTTACAAACTCACATTTTTTCTGATGAGAATGTGAAGTAGATGTTTATGGGTGCTAGTTAGTATGAGGGGAAAGACATTCTTTATATTTTATTTTATTGTCAGCATATAATTGTTCATGCTGATACAATACATATAGTTTCTTTGGCTTTATAAATATAGATTTTTTTTCCTATGAACCTTTACAGTGCTTCATATTTTGATAACCAGGGCTGTTTGTGTGAAAAATGTTAGGAACTGAT